TTAGAAAATTACATATTATATACCATCTTGAAACATAATTTTTTTAAGACGTACTAATCGGTTCTAGATATACCCATTGCATTGCACGGGTGGTATGCATCGATAATTGCTACATTACATACGGAGTAGAAAAACTTGATTAATTATTAAGAAAAGTAAGTTTTGCGCATGTTTAATTTTAACACACGGGGGTTTGATGCATTTTTAAAATTCGAGGCTAATGGTCCAAATTTTTATTTCACGAGTGGGTTTGGTGCATTAAACCCAAATACCCAATTATTAATAGGGTGAATGTACAGTTTTATGATACTAGTGATTGGGAGTTTCGCTCATCTAGAGCCCATAGAAACCACGGCCGGCCCAGGACAAGTTCTCCGTGTGGTGGAAGGGCAAAATGGAGCAGAACTGCAAAGAAGAAGAGAATGAAAAGTTGCACACTTGTCGTCGTCAGCCGAAGGAAAATCCTGCTAACCTTATTACAGCAACCAGCGATGATAACCTAAGGGACCTTTTTCACCAAATCAGGACTTCAAAAACTCCTGTCAGTGTAGATTCTACTCCCTCAACTTTCTTTTTTATTCCTACATATACACCGCGATTTGAGATGGCTTTAGATGTGCTGAATCCCAATCTCAAACTATTGTTGCAGGCAGTTATCAACTATGGCGCATCTTGGTAAGTTAGGGGCTTCCACAAATATTCCATTTTTCAGTAGCTTATATGTATATGACGTGCTTTCAATCCCAGCTCTAGGGATTCAAGTTAGTGTATTTCCATTTCGAGTAATTGCCGTCTTTTTGTGAAATAGTTAGGTTTACAAGAAGCCTTGCTCACATGTGTAATCATATTCTGAGGTCAAACATTCACTCTGTATTTTGGGGCTGAAATTGCGACATGATTCTCGAATGTAGTATATCCATTGGGTTTTCCAACTCTACCTGGTATGTGGTCGATTGGGAAGTGATCTGGCATGGCCCTTGACCTCAAAATGCGATATACTGTTAGCAGCTTAACATCGATAGTGCCTTTTGCTTTTTCAGGGAAAAAAACCTTGATATATGCATGTAATCTAGTATTGCAATACTCTCTGGGTGCGAGTCAGCGGCTTGAGTGCCACCTTGGGTGCCTAGCACATGTAAGAGTGCCTAGCGAGCCTAATGGGCTGCCAAGTAAACTGATTTTTAGAACAGTCTTCTGATGCTTAGGTAGGTTTGGATCCCGTAAAATGAAAGGCAAAGGGGAAAAAGTGTTAAGCAAGAGTTGTTTTCTTGTGTTTGGTTGATCTCAGAAAGTGAAAAAGTAAAGTACATTATGATTATGTTTTTTTAAAACCTTAACAATATGTTTAGATTTTTTAGTAGTGTTTATTATATAGAATTATATAAAAAAAGAGGTTGAAGAAATCTAATAAATGTTTTTATTCAGGTTGACGCAAAAGTGTCCTCCCACATTTCGTTCCTTCCAACTTCCCCTATTTTTGTCCCATTATGCCTCCTGATCATTTTCCGAGTTCTAGCTTTCAAGCATTCATGGACCCTACATAGAAACTTCTTATGTTTATAATGATCACAAATTCCTTTGTTGCAAAAGCACATCATACATTAACTAGTCGATCTTTTGCTATGTACTTAAAAGTTGAAAACCTAGGAAAACCTAATATTGCTATGTACCCCACATAAAAGCAAGCCGTTCTAGGAAAACCTAATATTGGTAGCACTTTCTATATTAATGTGATATATTTAAGACATGAATACATGATGCTCCATCTTAAAAGTTGAAAACCCAATGTCCATCCACGTAACCCAATATCGGGCTGGTATATTAGAATGACCCTTTTAGGATTAAATATCATGTTTTAATATGGTTTATATGTTCGCTATCACTGATGTAGGATGTCTTACTGTGGGATATACGCCCTTGAACATAGACCATGCACTGGTTTCATGCTTGAACTGTTGTGACCTGAAATGGCAAATTCGTCATAATAGAGCTTGAAAACCAGTAGCCTTTTTACTTTTTTCGTTTAATGATATTGAAAAGTTGTGGGCAATGTTAAAACAACATTTGATGTGTGGGTTTGCCAATTTCCAGGTGTCGTGTTTGCAGCCAGATACTTCCGGTATTCTGTGACTTGAGTAACAGCTTCCCTAAACTCTCGTTTGTATATGCTGATATTGATGATTGTCCAGAGACAACCCAGCATGTCCGCTACACACCAACTTTTCATTTCTACCAAGATGGGGAGAGGGTTGATGAGATGATTGGTGCCGGCGAAGAGAGACTGCATGACAGGCTCTGGTTGCACTCTTAGAAACATAGGCTTGGTTTGATTTGGTTGCACAGCACTCTTGGATGGAAATTCTCTACATGTTTTAATCTATTGCTGTTATCACACATACAAATGTATCCCCATCCCGTGAATGTTTATGCTCCAAAGAAATTAATTAAAAAAAAAGAGTTTTATTGCAAGGGTTACGTTACTTTGGCTAGGTAATAATTGGGGGTAGGGGAATGCAAGCTTACCTTGTCACTGAATCGTTAGAAACAAATTTGGAATGATTCAAAGTATGACCAAGGTACACATTACCTTGCTTCAGTTGTATGGGATGGACCCGGTTCGGGCCGGGCCGGGCCCGGTTCGGGCCGTGAACCGGCCGGGCCTCGGTTCAAGGTTTGGGAGGCCCGGAACCGGCCCGGGTAACCCCGGGTCCGGTTCGGGCCGGGCCGCCCGTCCGGTTCACGGGCCGGGCCCGGTTCGGGCCGGTCCTTTTAATTTTTTTTATTTATATACGGAGTATTATATTATTATAATAATTGTTATTAAAAACAAAATTCAAGTGCATGATGTTGAAATAGGAAGTACATTTGAGAATTGAGGAAAATGTTTTACATATTGTGTATAATTTACTTAGAAAAGTGATTTGATTTAGAAAAGTGTAAGGAAAGTGATATGATTTAGAAAATTATACATATTGTGTAAGGAAAATGTTTTTAATTTTTTAATTAAGTAAAACTATTTTTACTTAGAAAAGTGATTTGATTTATAATTTACAAATGTTACAAAATAGGTGTATAAGTTGTAAGTTGTAAGTTTGTAACAAATTAATTAATTTACATATTAATATTACATATTTTAATTTAAAAACAGCCTTTACATTTTACAAAAAAAATTCAAGTTGTAAGTTATAAGTTTAAAACCAATTAATTAATTTGAGAAGTGCTACATATGAAGTACAAGTTTACAAATTAATTTTATTGAATTGAATTATTGAATTGATGTACACAATAATATAAAATAATTCAAGTATTTTTATTTCAAACAAGTACAATTGAGAATTAGGATGCATTTAAGAAATGTAATACATTTTGAAATAAAAAATCAATCGGAATCTCCGCCTTCGGTGGTTGTTTCCTCCATAAAGTGGCGGGTGGGAGCGATGGTCATTTCTTGAGTTCTTCGTTTGGCCTTCAACCAATCATGGAAGCAAACTAGCGTCTCAAGAGAGCTCGGGCTCAACCTCGTTCTATAATCGGTTAGGACGTTGCCGGCCGCACTAAATTCTTGTTCCACGGCAACTGTTGATATCGGCATTGCTAGCACTTGCTTAGCCAGTTTTGATAAAACCGGGAACGTTCTTTCATTGTCCTTCCACCACTTAAGGACGTCAAAATCATCCCCAACTTCATAATCAACATTCAATGTTAGATAGATAGAAAGCTCGTTAACTGAGCTTTGTTCAGTAGCGGGAGTTGCTCTACTTTTTTTCATAAGAAAACCAAATGCAGATTTTAAAAGTGATTTTCCTTTAGATGAAGAAGATGTTCGCGGCATGGGAGGGGGTGCATTACCATATTGTGCATAAAATTCATTATACAATTGATGAAATAAATTACTAACCTCGTTGTATTCTTGTTTAGGGTCGATGGGATTATCATCGAACTCTTGAGTTGGAAAAAAACAATTATAATAGTAATCTATACAACTTGGCAATGCGGCAAGTCTATAACGAGGATCAAGAACAAATGCAATACCATATATATGCGGAACATGTGAATAATATTTTAAAAATTTTTGTTTCATGAAATCACAAAAATAACTAACGTAAGCGGCATCGGAAAATTCTAAAAATGCGCCGGCGAGATTAACAGCTTCAACAAAAAACTCGTTTGCGGTAGGTTTATAAACATGACTAAAAGTTTGAGTTGCGTTATTAAAATATACCAAAACATTAACAATTTTTTCACAAGTGTCGATGTCAGCCGAGTTTATAATATAGTTACAAGTTTGTCTTAAAAAAGCAGGAAAATGTTCTTTATATCTAATAAGTACTTGAATTAAGTTATACGTACTATTCCAACGAATAGACAAATCTTTAGGAAAAGCACAATAATTGACACGTCTTTCCTTCAAATATTGTCGCCATTGCATTTTTAGTGGAGTGTTAGCCCAAATCAATTTAATTCCCCCCTTCACTACCTCCAAAGCATTTCCTAATGCCGCTAATCCATCTTGTATACACAAATTTAGAATATGACATGCACAACGTTGATGAAAAAACCTACCCATCAATGTAGAAGCACCACACAATTCACGCAATCTAGGTATAGCAGCAGTATTATTACTAGCATTATCAAAACCTACAGCAAACACCTTATCAAGCAAATTATACTCAATTAAAATACGCTCAATGAGAATATAAATATTATCAGCAGTATGACGATCATTGAATTCACGAAATGCAAGAACACGTTTATGCATATTCCAATCATCATCAATATAATGTGCAGTAAGACCCAAATAATATAAATGATGATAAGTATCCTCCCATATATCGCTACAAATACTAACACGTCCATTAAAGTTTGCGAAAAATGTTTGTAAATTTTCTTTTTCGAAGTTATATTGCCTTATAACTTCTTTTTTAATCGTTTTGCGACTATAATTTCTAAATTGAGGATTTAAAGTGCCTTGAGCATAATCTCTTAAAGCAAGACTTTCGGAAAAAATATAGGGTAAATTTTCTTCAACAATTAAATGAGACATACCAGTCAAATGTTTTTGATCATCATAGGAGAAATTACCAAAGGGTTGAGAATTTGCAAACCTCGATATTTGTGTTTGCTTCCCCTTGCCCTTGTCTATTTTCGCATACTCCACAAGATGGGCGGACTTAAGATGCCTTGTGAGACTCCCGTATCCGCCAGAAGTTCCCAAGCTATACTCTTTGACGCAATGATTGCAACTTGCGTACCATTTTTCGGTATTTTTGTCTTTCCTTTTTGTAAAATTGTTTTCAATAATAGGAGATTTAGATTTCTTACCAGTTTGGGTTGAACCGCCCTCGTCCTCCAAGTCTTGCTCATCATCCGGGGTGCCGTGAGTCCCGTCGGCCCCCGCGTCCTCCTCTGCATCGTCATCCTCGAGCTCCTCTTCATCAATGGTTGTCGGGATGGGTTGTTCTTGTGCAAAGCGTGGATCGTTTTGGGACAATAGGTTTTGTAGATGCTCGTCGGACATCATCATATCATCTCTCCGTTGGTAATCCGTTTCAAAATCATCTCGACTTTGAAAAGAAGACTCGGCCCGCGCTTTACCTTTGCCTTTGCGTGAATTAGGACGAGTCGACGCAATCTCCCTCTTGCGGTTGCGTTGGAGATTACCCACATCTACAGAATGTCTACCACGTTCCATCTTTAAAATTGAACAAATATTAAATGATATCAAATATTTTATATGAGTACAATAGTAATAATAAAATGTGACTAAGAAAACTATTGCGAATTCGAACTAAAATATGAGTATACAAATCGAACTACTTCTAATTAATACTTTAATGAGAAATGTATCAATTAACTAAATATTAACTAGTTTGACTAATATAAATATGAGAAATGTAAAAATTAACTAGTTTTTTTTTTACTTTAATGAGCAATGTACAAATTAACTAATATTAATATGAGAAATGTAACAATTAGGTAGTTTAACTAATATTAATATGACAATTTTAACAATTAACTACTTTAGGTAGTTTTTAAAATGACAAATGTAAAAATTTACTAGTTATTTTTACCTTAATGAGAAATGTATACTGTTGGGATATATTATCCCGGCCTATTACTGTTCAGGAGTCCAAGACATTATTCAGTACGGAGCCCGAGCAGCTAGGCCCTTTTCGGCCCATCCGGCCCAGTTTAGCCATTTGGGCCCACTCCGGCCCATTAGGGTGGAGAGCATCCCCTTCCCCTATTCTCTATAAATATGGGAGTTTTCCTCCATATTAGGGATCCTTTTTTAGCTCCATCTTCCTTCTTCCTTCTTAGTTAGCTTACAAGACTCCATTAATGGGAGCTCAAAATGTACTTTGTAATGGTGAGGAGAGTCCTAATGAGAAAGAGGGGGCTTGGACATTAACCTAAAAAGTCCCGTGGTTTTCTCCCTTTCGGGTTTCCACGTAAAAACTGAGTGTTCATACATATATTTACTATATCGTGTTGGATTAAACTCAACACTGGCGCCGTCTGTGGGAATCTGTCCAAAAAGATTCATGTATTCTACTGTTCTTGAGTTGCTACAAGAAAGATTTATACGAAAATGGACTGATTCCAGCAAAAAAGAAGAAAAAATCCGAGAAAATGGGATCTGGAATTCCCCAGATCTGTTTTGGAGGTTGCCAGAGACGCCACCACCGTTCCCGCCGCCGTGGAACCTCCGGTGGGTGTACCTGCACTGGACGAAGCTCGCTGTAGCACCCCAGATCTTGCCATCCCAGTTTCTAGTAAAAACTCCGTCGCAACACGGTCACCTGGCCAATCTCTGCTCGAGCTTCCACGGGCCACTCTGCCGATGCGACCTGAGGTAGCTGCTGGCTGAGAGCTTGATTTCTGCCATTAACGGTGGTGTGGAGCTCAGGGAAGGTATGCCACGATCCTATGAAGTCCGGCTGGCTTTCCAACGGAGACTATCCTCTCTGGCCGCCCTTGCTCCGCTGCAACCGCCGTTCTCACCGGTGGAAGTGGCCGGCACGCGTGACCTGCTCTTCTAAAAGAGACCCCGTATATTATTGCTACGGACCTTAGAGCACCACGTATGCGAGACCAAGGCCAAGTAAAAGGCTAATTTCTTTGGATAACTTTGACCAAGAGCAAAATGGGGGAATTCCACTAAGCCGAGGCTTGGACGTACGTCAACGGACTTATGAGTGGTCGGATAAGTGAAGCTTTTGGCTCTTGGGCAACGTGGTGGAGACTTTGGCCAAGTCAAAGCAAAAGAGGAATCAAAATATTTTCAGAATTGCTAACTGGCCGAACATCTACCCCAAAGCTAAGTACCTACACCTTTAAATTGGTACACTCAATTGTTAATAGTTTGAACTATTAGTAATGCTATTATTCTTTATCACCATTATTTATTAGGGAATAAAATCTCCCGAAATTAAATAATGTCGAGCGATGCTCTAGTGATAATTAATTCCACCATCATTTTAATTAATGACTGGTTGT